TATTTTTATATTTATCGGATTATACATACAACCCATAATGGTTTTTTCGATAATAATATATTATAATTATTATATACGCGCCGATCGCGCACGTACGTCTGCAGTATAGGTACACTTACATACTACAAATTTCAATATATTATATTAAACGTCTTTTCAGCGATACAAGCATCACAACGAGGGTGAATCGGCAGCGGCGGGTGAGGTAGGGTTGTTTTTTTTTCTGCCGTCGTTGTCGCCGTTGTTCACCGGTCCGAAAAGACGAAACGACCGGTCGCCGCCGCCGCAGCATCCAAACGAAGAATAAATCCAACGATGGAAAAAAATATTGTATAAGGAAAAAGTGAAATAACGACCGACAGAGAGAAAAGGATAAGAGGTGAGAAAAAGATAGAGTGAGCTGTGCAAGGATAGAGCGAGTGAATGAGACTGCACCGAGAGACAAATAGATAGAGATCGAGCTAGGTGGCGATGGTGGGGTGCAAGTATAATGCGCGCGGGACAACGAGAGAAAATAATAATAATAATAATAAACCATCCGACGACGACGACGACGACACACGGTGTTTCGTTCACGGGATTAGGTGGGACTGCCGCGGCGCGCCTGGAGCGCATTAAATCAATATGGAGCCTGTGAGCGGCGGAGGCCCCTTATAGCCCCGCACAGCGTGCGCGCCGCCGTTCAGTGTACGTACGCCAGTCGTCCAGCGCAAGACCATACAACAGCCGCCGCAGCCGCTTGTTCACCCCGCTTACAACTACACGCTCGCCATACGTAGGATCACGCGCGCACTCCCTCGCACACGCGCGCGCAACACGCCCGGCCGCCGCCGCCGACCGCTCTCTGACGCGCATGACGAAATAAATAATAAACAATAATACCACCTCCGATCACAAGTCTCGCGCACAGCATTATATTGTACCGTAGAACAGCGTACTGTCGTTGCTATACGATCGTGTACTACAAAAATCTCCCGACGACGCAGGAACCATCACACACACGCTCCGCCGCGTATACTCAGTCCGCCGCCGTACCGCTCGAAGACCGACGTATACCGGTCCACGTCTGTTCTGCACACGCGTTTCACACCGACAGTTAATCCACACACACTCACATCAAGGTACGTACCGTCATCGCAGCCGTACAATGTTTATATTAACGTTTAATATCATAATTATTTTACTCATCGCCATCGGTGACATGTTATTTACAATATTATGTTAAAAATATGACAATGTTCGATTTATTGCGAATTATTTATACGAAATCACATAAATCCGTATTTTTTTTTTTTAACATAGGTTCTAAATTTTTCGTCTTGTCCGTGATGACTTGTGCGAACTTAAAAATTCTTTAGCACAACTTATAAGMGATTATTATTAATTTACGATTAACATTATACAGTATGGTTTTATTATGTTTTGGTATATGAAGATTATCATTATTATTATTTTACATACATGACAGTAAACGATATACGACTTGAGTTGTAAACACATGAGGGGTGGGTTAAGGGACTCACAACTCCCCTCCTCCAAAAAAATGATTTACTCGATGAAAACATATTTCTGCAAAACGTGCTTTTCCTCTCTCTCTCTCTCTCTCTCTCGCTGTATACACATAAATATATATTTGAGTTAATAGCTGCAGTAGTATTATAATTGTGTAATTTCGGGAAAGCTATAATTATCATGAGCACAACCCTCTCGGTAAAAAAATCCTATGCGTGCACAACTGCAGTGATGATATTACGATATTAATTTATGATAATAATATATTATTTTAATGACAATATGGTGGTGGTTGCGTACATTAATTTATTGAACATAATTATGTGTTATCCTCCGTGGGGGAGATTGCAGGTGCAGCAGTTTATTGTCAACGGGTTTTCCATTACGGACGTTTATCCGAACTGAGAGACATATGACATTGTTGACAGGTAAATTGATAGGTATAGATGGATAAGTTCGTACCTAAGGGTGGTGCATCTCCGGACTGTAGATTTKTATGTATAAATCTACCGGATGCTGTCGAATCACGCGCTGCACCTTTGCATTCATCTTTGAATTCATATAACCCCATCATGGGTATGTCTCTGCAGCATTCGAGCAGTAGTCTGCACACACTGTAAACCGTGTACGTAAAAAATATTTAACCAATGTGCCTACGTCGTCGTAATAATGATATATATATTATTATTTTACTCGCCGCATCACGCGCCGATCAGACTTTGTGCGCGCTCGTGTTATTTTCCCCGATATAAATATACATCACACTATACGTTCATAATCGATCAGAGATAATATTAAAATATGCGGCCAAGTCGTATCTCGTATATGTTATATAATTATATAATATTTATGATAAAATAATATAAAATATTTTTCAATGAAACACAGCAGCACTGTAACGTACCTACTATGTAGTTGTTGTTAATCACTACGCGTTGCACAATAATAATATTATATATCGAATATTACACGAGCTTTAGACAATATCAGATTTATATATATATATATATATATACATCAGTGGTATAATTAAGGGGAAAAGTCCGTTCGTGTAGATAAAATGGCGTTTTATCACCCGGACGAAACGGTTATAATAATAACATTAAAACGTCGAGGTTAAACGGCAACGCGATTAATTATACCTGCCGAGGTCTATAMGCATAATATTATAATATTTAGAATTTAGACACTAACAATATATTCAACCGCTATCGACGACGATGATGACGTGATGTCTTAAATATCGCCATTATTTTGTTTCGCTGATCTTAAAACGCGCCTTGAATTATGTATATAAAATAAATCTATAGGTATTACGTCAGTGTAATATTACCTGCAAATATACGCGATGCAAGTTCTGAGTAGAATACCATGGGCTAAATAAATTATTTTTAAAATAGTTMAATTTTGATTTTATTGAAATTGAACGTAATGAATGTGGTGAGGGAGGCGCTTACACTGGACTATCCATTGTATAGCCATCATAATATTTATAATATATCAAATATCCTGAAACGGCTGAAACAGAACCGAGCATATGACAATATTATTTTATTTTTAAAAGATCTGAATCATATAATATGATTATATTATTATTCTAATTAATTCTTTTATTAACACGCTCCGACCACGGCGATGACAACGATGACTTTGACTCGATGGTTCTAAATAACAATCACAACAATATAATTATTATAACGTCAGGGCACGTCCATGGCGTTTATTTTCCACGTACACAATAGGTTAGGTTAGGGAGTCGATAGTCTATAAATCGAGGGGGTAAAAAAAGTGAAAAAAAGTATTTTAAATATTCCGTTTTATCTGCTATACCCTGGGGGTTAACGTATTACGATAGGATAATAATAATATTTAACATACGTACGCAAATATATCAATATTGTTATAGGTAGGACTGTTGGGGGAGATGCGTGCGCAAAACGACTAGTTCGGACCGCGGAGAGTCATCGTATATGTATATAAAATTTATTGTCGAATTCGTCCGCGGGAAAAAATAATCATCTACAGATCGGATCGAGGCACGGGATAAAAAAAAAAAACAACAAACCAGTATAATTACCGCGCCCATAAAAAATATTCAACACAAAGAAACGTCATAATAAATTTGGCGATTATAAAATATATAATACTAATATAATTATTATAATATAGTATATACACCGTCATCGTACACAACATCCAAACGATGGTAAAATAATTATTATTATTGAGAAGGCAAGGATCACTATAATATAAATCAGCCGCAGCTGTGCGCTCTTATTATTTTTCCGAATTTCCCGCATATTATTTATGCACCCACACGAATATTATAATATCGAATATCCACCACATACACCCTTCCCCCCTCCGGAAAATCGTCGAAATAATATATTATTTGCGTCGTGTCTTCGATAGTATCAGACGACATTGCCAAGCGCATCGTATTTTTATGAGGGCGACTATGTACCTTTATAGTGCAGCAGAAAAAAACGCCCTCGCACGTCCGCACACTGCAACTATACTGCTATAACATTATAATATTATTATTATATTAATATTGTCCACATGTGAATATTGAGACCAACATTGTACAATATGTATACAGCAGATACACAAGATCGCCGCAATAAAAATGGTCCAAATAAATGTGTCACACGTGTTTTTACTCTGTAGGTTATACATGTATATATAAATTTATTTATTTATTTTTATTTAACAGGGTGGTCCAACAAGCATTCTCACCCCTTTTTTTCTTCATTAATGCAATATATATAATTGTATTGTAATAGTTTGTATTTAATGCAATAGTTTAATCTGATTTTGGAAATATTTAAATATAATATATATATATATATATACTTAAATACGATACTTTCTGCATACTACGAGACGTGTTATGTGAAGTGTAAAATTTCTGTTTCTCAAATGAAAACTATATGACTGTAAATTATTTGGCCGATAGATTTTCTGAAAACTTTGACGTTCAAAATCATCCTCCTTAAGAGATGCAAAACAATTCTAAGAATTTGAAAATATGATCTTAAGGKGKACTATATCGAAAAATCGAAAAATCAGAGTTTAAATAAATTCATTATTAAAGGAGAAATAGGGTTGATCATACTTGGTGAACCACCCTGTACAACGTCCATAATGTTTTTTCTTTTGCCATATATGCACACGGTACATGATATAATAAATATATATTATACGACATGTGTGTGCCCCGCACGACGTTTGCGACCGTCCACATATATAATGATATTGTACATCATATTATTATGTTAATATAATATATAATATATATGTTTGTGTGTGCCACGTCCGCTGCAGCATCTGCTCGGTTCGATTCCTGATCGAAATATATATAACACGACAACAGTAATAGTAACAGTATAATTATTAGAGCTCTGAAGTTATAGCACTCTAAAAAATGTTACTTTGTTGCGCTTTATAAGATTGCATTTTAAGTGCACTTAAAAACGTCAAAATATACGCTGTAAATAGCACTAAAAATATAAAAATATAAATTCAACTTTAAAAAAGTATTTAAATTATTTTTATCTTTTAATATACTTTTTTAAAATCATAATTTATATATAGTATTATAATAGTATAATAGGCAGATAATATTATTTAAGGTATACTCCGCACTACTCTGCAGGTATTATTTAAGTACCGACTGTTTCTTTGATGTTAACATAAAAGTATAAGAATATTTCTTTTCTACARCCTTTGCTCTGCAACATCAACGTGATTGGCGCGCTCTTCAAAACAAATATCAAGTCATTACAATTTAAATCTTCAGAAGACCGCGTCTGAATTTGAAGACATTTCTCCAGTAATGCAAAAAAATAATTCACTTCAATATAATATACGAGCGTTTCCAATAAATAATATTCCATTTCTAAGTTTAGATATTCTCGATGAGTGACTATAAAAAAAATTCAATAAAATGCTTTGACCTGAAAACTGCAGCAAAAATATAACAAAATTAAATATCGTATGCGAAATCATCTTTATAGGAAGCGTGAAACACACGTAATATTATGTAGGTATATCGTACAACTTGGAATGTTTATTAACCTTTTCACTACTAAATTATTTTTCTCAGTTTACATACAGTTAAATAAATCCCAGCATAGTGGTATATTTATTTTTTAATGTATTTTTTTGTCTCGTTTTATATATTGTTATAGTTCAAATATTAACTATCATTAATTTTTTTTTCTATAAATATTCTTTTAGCAGATTTTAGTGAATTAAGTTAGCTAGTTATGTTTCTTAATTATTTACAATAATATTAAGATCCTAACACATTATTGATTGCAGCTTTTGTTGGTTTTTTAAATGCTATAGAACGCGTATAATGTGCGTTCATAGCACACCAGAGTCGTTTACATTATTGGACGCAATATGCATTTGTTAGAACTTCCAAGCCTTGCTGCAGATTTTAATAGTTTTCTTTTTTTTTTTTGCGGTTCGTCGAAATATAGTCGAAATCTTGCATCTGCAGAAAAAGTCCCTTTGCCCACGTAACCACTATACTGCAGGAGGTCGTCTTGTACTTGGTGATATATTATAGACGAGTCTCGACTTACCTAACCGCAAGTAA